GGCGACACAGTTTACAGTGAATTTCATTAGCAGAGGGTTTGGGAGGGGGGAGGCTCAAAGGAAGGTGGTGATTAAGAGAGGGCTTGTGTGTGGCAAGGAGGGTGGTTGTTTGTGTGATTCTGCTTGAAAAATGATAATGTGAAACTAAAAGAGCCACCAGCATGTTTTAACCCAGTTTCCAGTATACATACATACAGAAACATAAATAAACAAGTCATAACAAATCTGGAAATAACCCGACTTACATCTCATTCAAACGCATAAAGGTGTGGTAAAGCGGAATAACTCCTTTAAACAACACTTTGCTTCTCTAGACCAAACAAGCGTCTAAGAGGGGATGTTTTCTGAGTTTAAACTCAGCAGCCTGCTAAATAGAACAATTGTTGCACTAACAACCATTTATTGAACTTTAAGTGCTTGGTGCCAAATCAGGAGAATACTATGTAGACCTGTTCACCAGCCTGAAGGAAACACAGTTTCCAACTATTGCAGTTTGACAAAGGCCATTCATAAACACATTGAAGTGAACACCTCCCTCTGTGAGGGTAAACTAAATCAGGCTGAAGTATCTGAGAACAACATAGAGGAAGTACCTGTTTAAATGAATCTGCCTTTTCTTTTAACCCTGTGTGGGCCACACAGTTGGTGTGAGAAACTGCCGATGGCAGGTGTGTGGGCTTTTTAGGATCACGTGGAATGTGTATTATTCACCAACAGGTAAGTACTGCAAATATGTCTTGCCGTTTGAAAAATGGCTTCTTCATGGTGGCAGGGAATTGTCAAGGGAGGCATCAATATGATAGACGGACTAGAATATGAAATTATGTCTGGGTAATTAAGCACAATGCTTCAATAAAATAAATGCAGCCCCATTTGATAAAGAAGCTGGTTCCCAAAGAAAGACTGGCTTAGATTTAACAACACACTTCAGATAGATATCTAAGCACATCAGTTTTAACAATGCTTTGCAAGTCCTTTGTATTTTAAAGAATTTGCTTTTATTCTGGGCAAATACGGAATGTTTTAAACTAAATTCATGGCCAATGGCTTCAAGCCACACAGCTCCATTCACTCAGCCTTGTAGCCATTTAATTATTCGACAAGGCTATTTTACTGGCAAAACCCATAATGTGTAACAATACCACAGACACACACACACACACACATACAAATACACACACACACACACACACAAACAAACAGACCAGGCAAGTCATTATTTTTTTAGAATAATATGGCAGTAAACAGGAGCATAAAATATATGTTTTAATATTTAAAACACATTTCAATGCATCAACAGAACTCAGTGGTTACCTATTTGTATGACTATTAATAATAGCGATGTATGTATCTCTCTATTTACTGATTGTTACGATGGAAACAAAACTCTAAGCTAAGGCGTGAGCTTGAGGGAAAAGGCTAACCTTTAGGCCCATTCTGATTTGTGTGAAACTGTCTTACTCGCATTAGGCTACCCTGAGAAGCAAATAATTAAGCCTGGCTAAATCTTTGAGCCCGGTCTAATATATCTTGATGAAACTGGCCCGAGAAGACAGCTCCTTGTCACTCAATGTATGAATATGTGAGAGAATGATGTGCTCTTACTCTGGTCTTCTGGGAAATAAAAGGTTAAGCTGAATATCAGTGGGTTGGGTAAAGGCGTTGAGTACAGTGGGAGGGAGATGCATTTGACATGTCCAGGCACCCATCAAGGTTCAGTCCGGTCTCTCATCATCCCTATCGAGCCACCTCACCACCATTAATATTCCAGTATGCAGAGTCCCGCTCTACGCCCCCAGCCCTACTCTATCATTTCCAGCAGGAACTAGAAATGGGTATGTGAGTAACTGTGTGGGTGTGTGTGTGTGTGTGTGTGTGTGTGTGTGTGTGTGTGTGTGTGTGTGTGTGTGTGTGTGTGTGTGTGTGTGTGTGTGTGTGTGTGAGAGATAACCATAGCCTCTCTGGTGAAATAGGGCTCTCTGGGGGCTTGTGCCTCAACTCTACAGCCTTTTGTGGGCTCCCATTACTTCTGACAGATAGAGATCACTAAACTGCTGAACAAACACCCCATTCAGTCATTTGCATACATTACAGTAATGGAAAGAGAAAAATGTATCAATAAAGCCAAATGAAGTGCTTCCACTAAGCTGTTCTTCCTCTGTCTTTCTTTCTGCATGTCTTTCATTCTCTATTTTTTCTTCTTTTATTCCATACTTTTTTATTTCTGTATTTTATCTTTCCATATTTCTTTATTTCTGAATTTCAAGACTGCCGCTGAACTTTCCCTGAAAGTCTTATTAATTCGTGGAAATATTTCCTCTAAAAGGTTAACAAATGATACGGCAGATTGTTTGATTGCTTGACAGATGTGTTCTCACAAATTGTTTGCGGCAAACATTCATCAGACCTTTTAATGGGCACAACCTTGACTGTTTGAAGCCTAAACAAATTAGTAACACTAATCATGCGTGGTGAAACAAAACAAATCATACTTTATTGTTGAAGGTTTAATTAAAACTATGCTGCTTTGGGGCAGATATTACTTTAAAAATACCTTGCAGTGACCATGGCCTCCTGAAATTAATCTCAGGAAAAAAAGCTGACAAGAGTCACAGTGAAACAGAGGCACATGTACTCACCTACACATCCCCCACACACACCCACAACACCCACACACACACACAACACACACACACACACACACACACACACACACACACACACACACACACACACACACACACACACACACACACACACACACACACACACACACACACACACACACACACACACACACACACACACATCACAGTGCCCAACAGTCAAGACAACAGAGCTTTACTTAACTTTCTCAGGGTTGCTCAAGCATCAAATGCATGACTTTTAGCTGTTGTTGTTCTTCCATCTGTCATGCTTCAAGGAACGAACATCCTTTTTTTAATCCCAGGGAAAAGTAAAAAAAAAAAAGGTATGTTTGCCTTGAATCTACTATCTTATGTGTACCAAAGGAAATGTCAATTGAAAATACACAGCGCTGTATTTCACACTGTGATTGTTCCAACACTTTGCTGTGCAACACAGATTAGAACACCACCTAAGCTGCCTGCAAACACTGGTACTAAAAACCTCAGCAAATCAAGCACAGCCTGCACTTCTATCTCTTGCACAGAAAAAAAAGGCCAACAGTTAATATCATGGGAGGTTAAAAGCGGTAGAAAAAAGATTGTCCTTCAGAAAAGTGGGTTATGTTATGACACACACTTGTATACACACACATATAAACATGTCTTAGTGTAACAAACAGAAACACAGCTACTTGAAAGACACTCAGTAAATAATGTGAGTATAATCACAGTGTTCTATTAAAAATAAGTATGCACATCCAGACACAAACATGTAGAACATAATATACACTCACTAAAACGTAGAGGTTCCTGATACCTTGTTGTTATGATTCAATTATAATCAATGATGTTTTACATTATGAATATGATATGAAAAGTAGATAAAACACCCCAGGGCACTAACTGAGAGAACAAACAAGGAGGCCTTTTTAATCATTTGAATCCTTCCTGTGCCTCCACGTGTCTGCCTCCCAAAAAATAGAACAATGAAAGTTATGATACAAAATAATCACAACTTAAGCAATTCTGCCACTTGAAAAATCAAGGGTATGGAAAGCACAATGCCTTGAACCATTACGGAAAAACTCCAAATGGAACACAACGCAGATGGGAAATTAACTATATATGCTTGTCAGTGCGTCCTATCAGTGGCTTCTTAAATAAGGCAAACACCAAAATAGATCTTGTTAAATTCTCCTAAGTCTTCTTCCTGGCACCTAAACTCGATCAGGTGGGAGAAAAGGGGAGGAAGTGGGATGTTTCAGGTCATGGCCAGCCAGCTTCCTCCCTCTGCCTCCCTCTGGGGAGGAACTCCAGACAGTGAGGAAGAGCCGAGCTGCAGTATATCTACACTTCTCCATTTCCTCTCACTCAAGCCTCTAGTTCGCAAAGAAGCCTGGGAATCAATACTGACATCGGGGGGGCCGCGTAGCTTTCTTTCCTGCCTGCTCTGCCTCCAAGCCGCCACCAGGGAGGTCTCTGCTTCAGTCTTTTTAATTACACAAATGTAAGTGCCCTTCTTTGACTGAGAGCAGATTGTTAATGTGTTAGGAGGCTATTACTCTTATACCACCATGTGTGCACACTCAGCTTTAATAAATCTCAGACAAAAGGAAGCAAAACTCAGGTTAAATGCTGTCTTACGTGAGGTTGCCTAGCATATGGAAACACCTACTCACTTGTTTAATTCCTAAAGTAATTATTTATTTCCTTAACAACAAAAGACACAAACAAAGAAGACTTTTTTCTCCTATAAAAGGTGCTCTTGCCTCAAGGTATTGACGACAGACTTGATTTCCACCATTGATCAAACCTATACAGTGAGGACCTTTCCTCTCAGAAAGGGCATTCAAGAAAGTGCAGAGACATGGCTAATTCAATTTGGGAGCAGAGATTCTTGGCTTTAAGTGAAACACTCTGTTATCGAAACAGGAGAGGTGCCATGAGAGAAGATAGTGCACGGATGGTTGTGTGGAGAGACTTGTGGCCGGTCAGGAGATGAAATCAGGGATCGGCGATAAGTTGGTGTGAGGGTCTAGAGCCCCCATTAGAGTGTCCCAGGGGACAGGCAGCGGTGGCAGAGTGCAGTAAAAATAGCCACAGGCATGATTTCACTCTTGGGACCAAGGAAGGAGTGAAGAGGGAGATCCGATCAACATCTCATAGTGAGGCTGCCAGATCCATTCCCTACGTTCCCTTGGGTGCCACCTATCACACCAAGTGACTTTAACTGCTTACCACTGCCAAGCAAAACACAAACAGCACAAGCCTTTGCCCCTGCTGATGACAAATGGGTGCACACAATGTCCTAAAATGCTCAAATCCATTAGGTATAAGCAAGGTTTAAAACAATGACCACCATAAAAAGGATATCAACATCTTTTCCACAAACTTATCTTGTTTGTCATCTGTTTTGGGGAAGTTCTCGATGTCGTTCTCAAGCCTCTGAATGTGACTTTCCATGGTGGTCAAACTGCTTTTTAAGATCTCAGCAGACACTAGAAAAAGAACACAAACATATATACAATACATTATTAGAAACCACAATTATGACTTACGATGCTGTGACAGTATGAAACATGATGGAACAACACATATTGCAGTAGGTTGAATTCAAACATAAAAACAACTTATAACTGAGTCAGACTATACACTGTGACATACTGACTCCTGCATAATCCATGTGTGTGTGGCCTAGATAGCAAGCACGTGTAAACGTGTGTGTGTAGTTTTGGTGTGGCTCATTATTCAGTCTGTAATCACTGTTTGCAGAGATGCTGTGAAATCCACAGTATTCAGATCAGGCCTTTCAAGTGGAGACTTCAAAGAGTAAGCAGTGTCTTATGGGATCAGATGGGACAGGAGCATGGATGTAGTACCATGTTTAGGTTGCTTTTAAGGGTTTAGTCTTATTGACACACACAAACGTGAACACACACATACCCAGAGTCACACCATACACACACACAAATACAAAATACAACTTTAAATTAAAAGTGATATGCAGCAATTCAGTAGATGAAGCATTATCCTTGATCTCTGTCAAAACAACTCTTCATATTATGAGTATTTGAATTGCAGCCATACATTTCATCCAATGCCACATGTCAATTCACAGCAATATTGACTGCCTTTTATAAAACCTCTACTTGACTGAAATTATGTTCCATCGAAATTGCTTTTGATATTATGTTACAACCCTTGGCCTTTAAGCGCAAACTAAACATCTACTAGAGAAAAGATAGCAGACCACTGCATTATAGGACAAGTAATAGTTTTTCGGTTTTCGTCTGAAAGGGACAATATTTCAAAGTCGGATTAAAAAGCTGATTAAGAGGTCATGGGTTCATCACAAATGTGTCTGTTTAAATGACTCTTGGACACTATGTGAATCAGGAGCTATGTTAATTTGAAACTTGAAGGTCGGGCTTGTACAACAGGAAAGGTTGCAGGGTCACAAAACCAATACGATTCTTCCTCTTGAGAGAGTAAATGTGAACAACTAATTCCATCCCAGTCTAGCCTTGAGTTTCGACATGTCAAGAAATAATGACAAACAAACCGATAGATGGAGGCAATCATCTTTGCAGAAGTAAACACAATGAAAATAACACATAAATGCACTTCTGTATACATCTTATAGGCCAATATTCAGTGATACTTTTGAATGTTCTTAATTTTAAATGGCTTGTTGTGACATAACTGCAAGTGTCATGAGTGTATGAAAAATATATATGCAATTGTCTTTTGTCTAATTATTGGCCAATCTGCAGATGGAAGTTCATATCATGCATGAACAGCGAATGGTCCATACTATGTTGGAGACAGTAAGTGTGACTCGCTGATAGATAACCTTACAGAGCACCAATAAGGACAGCCCTCCTAAACAAATCTTTGATAATTTAACCTACACTACCCGCACATCTGCAAGGTTGGCGCTCCTGCTACACTGTAAGTGTAGGGTTGAGGGATTGAGGACTGGCATAATGGACAAGCTGTCAAGAGATGTGGCCTCGGTGACACAGGGGTCAAACTTGTCTTGCTTAACATCAATTCCATAGCTTGGATTTGTTCTTTTCTCATTCTATGACAATAAGATTGGATGGTGAGATTGTGTATCACACGCACCCCCTGGCACACAGAAATAACCTTCAACTCAAATACAAAAGGTACCTAAAGTGCATTACCTCTGGAAAGCACACACAAACAGACACAATGCAAAGGTACACACAAACCACCTGCTGTGGTCGCTCGAGAAGCAATATAATAAGAGTAAAGGGTGAAGTCACTGTCATTATTAGACTTTGCACAAAGCTGACTAGCGGTACATATCCAGTGCCTGGGAGTTTCACCATCCCTCCTCCTCACTCTCACAGAACTGACTCCGGGGCTGACAGTGAGAAAACCACACTATCACATTGCTGTTTCTCCACTGATAGGGCCTCTGAGATCCACATGCTCTTGTCAGTATGATCTCAGCCTCAGTATTGGTGAAAAAGTAGAAGGAACAAAAAAACATGGTGGCTAGACAGATGGATGCAAGAGACGAAACAAATGTATTCATATACATGTGTCGAGCCAAACATACTGTGTCACTCATTGTGGCTTTTGATAGTTACTTGTAGCATGAGTGATACCATTTAGTAATAATTTGGCTGTATCACCGATCATAGTAACTATTGTAGCCAAGAAACAGTGGCTCAAGTTAACAGTGATAGTCTGTCAGGGGAGCCATTCACAGGATCAGAGCCAAGCCATGGGACTACAATACAGACTATTGTTTACATGGGAATTACTCACCGTTAACACTAACTGTGACGGGTGAAGTTTGCTCGTGTTTGGGTCCTCAAACAACTATACTAATATACATGTTTTATGGTATGGGTACACGTTTTATTGTTGCATCTGCATATACATTAATAGCAATAGTCTTCTTAGCTTGGAAACTGTAATTAGCACATATTATTTTCATGTATTTATTTTCAGCGTACAAAACATGGAAACACTGGTATCTTCTGAATGCACATTGCAAGTGGATCAGAGGAGAAAGAGGGGATAGAGGGGGTTATATTTCGTCTTTCCAGACAGAGAGAATTTCTGAGACATGTAAAATTATTCTAATGACTGCTGTCAGCAAGGCCTGCCAGTGTCTTTGAATGCACAGAATGTCTTTTCAGGTAACGTCATTTTTATGCAGGAAAAAAACCTGTTCCTCTAAGTTGTCTGCTGTGTGCTGTGAAGTTCTTGGCAAGCAAAATAAAAAAACTGCGAAGGCTGATTCATGGAGGACGCGAGAGAGGACACGAAGCCATTTGAAAGACAAGGAGTTAACTTGTGTGAACATACATCATAAATCTCCTCTGTGGTCAACATCCTTTAGTTATAGGCATGAGCTCTGTAACATTGGCTCTTGACGCATGACTTATTCTCAGGAACAAAAGACAGACAATGAGCATTTCATTAAGCCGTGTCCCGTTGCTTTCAAATAAACTGCCAGGGAAAAATACTGTTACAGCTCACAATACCAAATCAACCGCTATAATGTGAAGATGTCAACTTTATATTCAGTCATTTGTAGAAAGGAGCCATTTTCATTGTGATTTATAGACAAACAATACTAATCCCTCAACACTGCTCTTGCTATGCCGCCAAAGGTTACAAAGGAAATTGAGATTTATTTTGAGCGTTGCTGCCAACGTAGAATAAAAGATCAAATTCTAAATAATCTACACACTTGAGAAAACAAAGACAAATGCAACATAAAACTAAAGGAGAAAGTCGTTCATACACGCATTCATCACCTTAGCAGAGTAAGTGTATGTATGTTTGTGGATGTGTGGAAAGAGAGATGGCCTGGCCATGATATAAAGACAAAAAGACACACAGATAGTCTGCAAACATAAAGAAAGTAAAATGTGCTCACTATTAATTTACATATATCAAAATATAGTATTTATTAATGTGTATGGATTGTCTGTTGGTGTGTGAACATGTGATCATAACAACAATTAAGTCATATATAAGTCATATAAGTCATACTCGTGGACCACGTGTTGTGTTGCACATTTAATATAGAGTGTAAATATTGGTCGAGGAGCGTGGTAATGAAAAGCTGTATTGGTTTAATTATTAGGACTGGAAATCGAGGCCATCTGTCTTTGCATTATCAAGGCGTACAAACACATCTTAAAAACACCAAAAACATTGCCAGACTCCGGCCTTCACTCTCTGACTCTGTGGCAGAAACACTTGTACACGCCTTCATCACATCCCGTCTGGACTACTGCAATGGTGTCCTGTCCGGGGTTCCCAGCAAAACCCTGGACAGGCTCCAATACGTCCAGAACTCTGCCGCCAAGCTTCTCACCCGCACCAAGCCATGGCCACATATCACCCCCACCCTCATCCACCTACACTGGCTGCCGGTCAAGTCCCGGATTCAGTACAAAACACTCCTCCTCACGTACAAGTCCCTCCATACCCTAACCCCCAGTACTTATCGGACCTCCTCCATCCCTACACCCCTTCTCGGAGTCTGCGGTCCTCAGACACGGGCCTGCTCTCCATCCCCCGCTCTCGCCTCCGAACTGTTGGTGACAGGGCGTTCAGTGTTGCGGCCCCCACCCTCTGGAATGCACTTCCTGCCGAGATCCGTAATGCTGCCTCACTGGACATCTTCAAATCATCATTAAAAACACACCTGTTCACCCTGGCCTTCGAGCTCTAGCCCTTTCTTGGTCCCCCAGCTTCCTAAAAGTTTAGCCGTAAACGCGCCCGTAACGCGCCCGTAACGCGCCCGTAACGCGCCCGTAACGCGCTTGTAACGCGCCCGTAACGCGCCCGTAACGCGCCCGTAACGCGCCCGTAACGCGCCCGTAACGCGGCGCAGACGGACCCGGTGGAATCTAGGGGTAAGTCTGTACAAAGGTACTTCAAGCTAAATCCTGGTTTCATCATCATGTTGATCCTTAACAATTGCTGATCTTTTGCAGTGACAATGTTAATAGAGTTAACCATGTTAGTTTAACATGTAAGCTAACATTTGCCAACGAGCATTTAACACAAAGTATGTCTGAAGATGATTGGAATTCATTTTGCATATATTTAGTCATCAACCAGAGCCTGAAAAAACGGCTTTCTACCTGATGGTCACATCAATTCAAATATGAAATGATCACCAAAAGTTATTACAATCCATCCTCACATGTACACTATTCACAATGTGATAATACTTGACATTATGTGACCATGATCATAAGTATGGGTACTATAGGTCATATATGTTAAAGCCTTTTAGAGCTTTGCAGAAGTAATTGTACCCTAGCTAGTTATCATCTCATTAAACGTCCTCTTACAGCGTCTTTTTTTTACAACATAGGGTGTAAAGGACAACCTTGAAGGGACTCCACACGACACCAGATACACATCATGTCTGCCAAAGAGCATACTCATCACAACAAGGCAAGACTGACTATTGATCAGTTGCATGATAGCTTGA